CGGCACCGCGATGGACGGCTGCAGGGCCCGAGCCGCGTCTCGCAGCTCGCACACGGACGGTGCGCCCGGCCGTGCCGCCGCCGCCGCCGCCATCGCGGCCCTTTCCGGCACGCCCGAGGCCACGAGGCTGACACGCAGGCTGGCGAGCTGGAGAAACGGCTGCGCGTGCCACGGAAGCAGCTCAGTCACATCTTCGTACGCGCGCAGCGCTGCCTCGAGCTCGCGGCGCTGGACCGCCGTCTGGGCGAGGAGGAGGAGGGCCTGGCTGCTGTGCACGTCGAGGGCCGCGGCGCGTAGCATCGTCGCGGCGGCATCCTCGAAGCCTCCTGAGGCCGCCTGAGCCTTTCCGAGGTCGAGGAGCACGGTCAACTTTGTGGGATCGAGCTCTGCGCTGGCGGCGAACGAGGCGGTGGCCTCGTCCCACCGCTCTTGGTCGGCGAGCGCGCGGCCCAGAAAGTAGTGAGAGTCCCACCGCGTCGCGTCTGCGGCGATGGACGCGCGGAAGAGCGCCATGCCTCCCTCCACGTCCTTCCGCACGTGCATGGCTATGTTGCCGCGGAGCATGAGCGCCTCTCCCGGCAGGCCCTGCTCGGCCTGCTTCAGCAGCGAATCTGCGCGGTCGCCATCGCCCCTGCGAGCGGTCGCGCGTGCCTCCGCAATGAGCTCGGCGGCAGTCTGAGCAGCAGCGGCCCGTCGGACGGCGAGGACGGCGAGGATGGCGGCGAGCCAACGAGATTGCATTTTCGGTCGCGCAAGAAATAACTCTCGCGGTTCTCGAGGTTCTCGAGGTGGATATCCTTTGGCCGCGTTGGGTAGCGAGGATTGGTGTAACCCGAGCCACGGAGGCGTGTTTTCTGGCGGCCGACCGTCAGTGCACGGAGTTGCCACTTCTCCGACTGCCCCGGCTAGTTCACGGGTTTCGCGGGTGTGACCCCATGCGTCAAACCCGAGACCTAGCGCGGGTGGGTTGGAGGGGGCTCGCCCCGTTCCTCCCCATCGGGCCGCATGAGCGGCCACGCCTCGCAGATTCGTTTCTCGCGCCTGGGTCAGGCGCGCGGGGCATCCCCCGGGTCGCTCGACCAGCGATCCGAAGAGTGGCCGCTATGCGAGGGAAAGAGCGGGGCCCTCGGGGTACGCCTCGTCCGGCCCCCTCCGAGGGGGGAAGGGAATTGCGGCGTCCCCACGGGCGCCTCTTCGGCCCTCCCGGGGGGGGGGGGGGGGGAACAAGGGGGGGGGGGGGTCCGGGCCGTGGGGAAGGGTCTCCGTTTCCGGGGGGTAAAACTTGCCTTTCGGGGAGGGGCCTCAGCCAAGGGCTCTTCACAAAAATGAAAGGTGCCCCAAGTTTTCCCCTCCTCCCCCAAGGCAGCCAGTAGGCCCCCAGGGGAGCCCTCCAGCCCCTTTTCCCAGGTTTTTGAAACGGTGATGGGAATTAACCCGCGGGAAAATCTCTTTTGGGGTACCCGTGTTAAGGCCAGTGCGCCCCAATCCCCTGCCCAGGGTCGGGGGGGAGGGACCTCAGCCCCCCCCCATG